TTTGGCGGGTCCGGGCTGGGGATTCGAACCCGCCACCTTAGGTACACGTGGCTGGCGCCTTAGCTGGCTGAGCTATAGGCGCCGAGCCGTTTGTTATATTTATTGAAATGTAATTTAATGTCTGATTAATCTGATTAAATTATATGTGGGTTGGCTGTGGCGGCTCACTCCTATAATCCCAGTACTCTGGGAGGCCAAGGCAAGAGGACCACTAGAGCTCAGGAATTCAAGACCAGCCTAAGCAAAAGCAAGGCCCCTACCTTTACCAAAAATAGTAAAAGACATTATCTGGGTCTCATGGGGACACCTGCAATCCCAGTTACTCAGGAGGCTGAGGCAGGAAGATTGCTTGAGCCAAGGAGTTTGAGCTAGACTGAGGTCAATGCATTCTAGCCTGGAGCAACAGAGTGAGACTCTGTCTAAAACAAACAAAAAAACTCCAACCCCCCAAAATAACAAAAGCCTCCAAAAACCCCCAAACTGTGGGCTTGTATTCCATACATCTTTTTAGTTTCATTTTTCTAGTTTTTATTTTAGCTTAGAAAAGTACTGGTCCATGATTGGTTAGAAATGGAAACTGGTCCTTTACCACAGCTGGTATGGGAACCACTGGCTTAGGAGTTCCAGCATCCACTGGTTGCTTCCAGAAAAAGTATCTTGACTAGGGGCTGAGGGTGGGGGGTCTGGGTGGGCCTGGAGAAGTAGGCACAAGAGCAGGGGTGTGGGTGCTCATTCATGCAATGTCACAGAACTCTGAAGGCACCTGTCATGCTGGCTGCTGCAGACACAACAGTAAGCAGAACTCCTACTTTTTTTTTTTTTAAAGGTCAGCTAGTTTACCTTCAAACCAGCTACTGCTTAATTTCTTTTTTTTCCATCATTTATTTTTCTTTGCAGTTTTTGGCTGGGGCTGGGTTTGAATCCACCACCTCCGGCATATGGGGCTGGTGCCCTACTCCTTTGAGCCACAGGTGCTGCCCCAGAACTCCTACTTTTAAGGGGGAGACAGATGGCAAAATACCAAGGTATACCAACAGGGCTTCACCTGCCCATGCTGATTTGGCTCCCCTTCCATTGGCTGGCAAGGGAACCACACCAGTTCAGTTTCCCTCTCCTCCCTCTCCCCCAGTGTCACAAAGGGCCCTGGCCCTGGAGCCCTGGGTTATGTTCTTAAGTCTGCCTGCAACCAGGCTTTCCTTGAACAAAATCAGTCCTCATCTGTAAATGGGACCCACCTCTCTGGCCTTGGGTTCCTCATCTGTTAAATGGGGCCAAGGAAGGGAGGATTACAAACATAACCTGTGGTAAGTGCTCATCACATAGCCTGGTGTCTTATAAGAGCTAGCTCACTGGTGGATATTAAGATCTAGATTTCAGGGTTCTCAAAGATTCTCTTTCTTGTTTCCTAAGATTCCGAGCTGCTCTGAAATTTTTCCAAAATCCTGAGATGGTCAGTTTCTAACATTCTGTGGTTCTTTTTTTTGAGACAGAGTCTCACTTTGTCACCTTGGTAGAGTGTGGTGGCGTCACAACTCACAGCAGCCTCAAACTCTTGGGCTTAAACAATTCTCTTGCCTCTGCCTCCCAAGTAGCTGGGACTACAGGCACCCACCACAATGCCCGGCTATTTTTAGAGATGAGGTCTTACTCTGGGCTCAGGCTGATCTCAAACTCATGAGCTCAAGCAATCCACCTGCCTCGGCCTCTCAGAGTGTTAGGATTATAGACAGGCATGAGCCACTGCACCCCTCCACATTCTATGGTTCTGAAAGTCTTTGATCACTGAAGCTCTTTGTCACACAAACCCTGGTGCCCCTGCCCTCTGCCACTGGGGTTCTCCCAACCTCTGTGCCAGGAAGCAGGGTAGTCGGTAAGGGGGCAGGGCTGCTGCCTTGGCATGGCCCACATTCAGAGCTGGCTGTGGCAGTCCAAAGCCCCAGAGCCAGGCTGGAACTAGGGTACCACCCTCCAGGCCCCAGCCTGTGTCATCTGAGCGCCCTCGGCTAGGGCCATCAGACAGAGACAAGGACAGACTCAGCCTAAGGGCTGAGTGAGACTGGGAAGGCTGTCCAGCCTCCTCCAGGCTCAAGGCACCACAGTCCCAGGCTTGGATCTGCTCCAAACACACCACATGACCTTGAGCAAATCTCAGAGCACTAGGACTTAATCGCCTAGGGTTCTGGAAGCCCTCCAGTCCCTGGTTCTGTCCTTTCCTCAGCCTTTGTGGGAGGGCGTCGGTCAGGTTGGTAGGCCTAGCCAGGGGTGATGTGACAGGAAGTCAGCAATTGTCTCTGCCAGAATTACCCTTTTATTAGCACAAAATAACATCAATCTAGCAGCCCCAGGGTCCTCGAATAAGTTAAGGCACAGAGTGAGGGAGGGGTGACATTCCCAGTGCCAGGCCTGCACGCCCCAAACTTCCTGAGCAACCACCCGACGGCTGGGCTTCTGAGGGTCCTGGAGGGCCTTCGCCCTTAAGATGACGGGAATGGAACGGGGCGGGGGTTTGAGGGGCACTCCTGTGGCCTCGGCGGCGCTTACTTCTCAAAGTAGGGCAGGTAGAAGAACTGGAAGCCCCGGTGGCCCTTGACAGCGCAGTAGATGAAGATCACGTGGTAGACTGTGTGGGGCGGGGCTTGTTAGCTCCGGGGCCCCGCCCCCACCCCCCCACCCCCAGCCTGGCACCTGCTCTCACCTCCCGGGACCAGCAACAGGAAGCCTGGCACGAAGAAGATGGCGCTGGAGACACCTGTGGCAGGAGGAGGGCTGGCTCAGGGAGTGGCGGGCCGCGAGTCCTTGCGGCCCTGCCAAGCCTCATTCTCAGCCGAATAAGGGGCCCTTCCCTGCGGGAGGTGGACAGGCCTGCCCAGCATCCATGGGCACAAGACAGAGGTGACCGCTGCCTGAGGGGGGATGAGGGGGTGCTCACCTGGAGAAGGGGTCACCTCCAGTCCCACGCCGACCAGGATCAGCACTGCGCACAGATGATGCCACAGGGGTGAGGACAGAAACAGAGGTGAGGGAGCAGGCTTACCACCCACCCAGCTCAGTCCTACGGAATGGTGTTCCCCACCTGAGTTAAAGGTCCTCTGGCCAAAGACCCTCCCCAGGAAGCTCACCAAGCACTATTTTAAGAGCAGGGCACTTGGCCGGCCCTGGGAAATGTCTGTGAAATGAGAGATTTTTCTTGCTCCTTAGTGTGGCCTTTCAGTCATTCAATAGACATTTATGGAACACCTGCTGAGTACCTAGTACTGAGAATTCCATGATGAAAGGCAGATAAGGTCCCTGACCTTCTGGCCCTTCTTTAGTGGACAGACCAAGAACCTGAAAGCTACAACTCAGGTGGCCAAGATGTAGGGTGGGGGGTAAGAAGGTAGTGTAGGTGCGTAGGGGAGTGGTCTGAATCAGCCTGGGGACCAGGGAGGGCTTCTTGGAGGTGGTACCATCTAAGCTGAGTGGCAGCAGTTAATGTTTATTGGCCACTTACTAGTTATTGTCAGGCACTGGGCTAAGTGCATTATGTGTAGTCTTATTTGTCACCTTGACCAAATGAGACAGGTGTTATCACCATACCCACTTCATCAAAGATGAAACTGAAGTACAGAGAAAGCAAGTAACTTGCCCACATGGCTGCAGGTGGAAGATGGGGGCTGTCTGACTCTAGAGGCTTTGCTATGGGCATTGTCCAGGCAAAGAGAGAGAGTTCCAGACATGGAACAGCACAGCTAGTATCTGGAGCCTGAAAGGAACATGGGGCTGTGTCAGAGTGTCCAACATTTGGCAGGACTAAAGAGGCAAGAAGCCAGGCTGGGGAAACTTGGTAGGGCCTGTAAGCCCCCAGGAAGGATGTGGGCTTTGGTAGAGCACAGTGAGCCCTGGGAAAAGTGGTGTGGTCAAAGCTGGGTCCACTTTTCAGACCCAGAGTCCTTGGTACCCAGTTAGAGAAGGGATGGAAGGTGGAGAGAGGATTTCGGGGTCTGAAAAAGGTGGGTAGTAGAGCCTGGGGACTTGAGAAGCCACCATGAACTGCTGTTGCTTTGTGCACTGCACAGAGCTCCTCAAAGAGGGCATGATGGGAGTGGAAACTCACTCCTTGTGGGCCCTGCCCTCTCAAGGGACATCCTTTTATAATTCTTCAAAGGCCCTTTCTGGACCTCTGGTGGCCCGCAGGTTTGGCAGTGTCATAGATGTGAGTTTAAATCACAGCTCATCTACTTCCCAGTCGCAATCTGAGCAGGTCACTTCACCTGCCTGAGCCTGTGTCCTTATTCTGAAACTGGATAGTGAAGATGCTTGCCCAGATGGCTTGTTGGGAGAATAAAATGAGAGGTCTGTGGCCAGTGCCACCAGGGTCTGCCATGCAGTGGTGGTGGGATGTGGCAGCTCCCTCCCTTGCACACAACTCCAGAGCTGGGGCTGGGCTTTTTGGCTGGGGGGCTTTGGCCTTCCTGGAGAAAGGAGGGAGGGGAATCAGGGGAGCAGCCATAGTTAGTCCCTCTTCATGTCCCCTCAGGACTCCTGGATCCTTTCTGGGGACTCTGCCTCCTCAGCCTCATATAATGAGGAGCCTGGGAGTCAGAAAATATCTTGTGAGATCTGCCTGCTCTGGGCCTCAGTTTCTCCATCAGAGCTATGGGGAAAGAAGTGGAGTGGGAAAGAAGTCCCTGTTAGCTCTCAACTCCAGAAAAGGGGAAGTGACAGGTGCCCTGTGGATCTAGGTTGGCAGGGATCTCAGCATCCCTGCCCATGGTGACAGGCATATATCCCTGACCCCTGCACAGAGATATGGACCCTGCCTCCAACCTGGCCTGAAGTAGACACAGAAGAAATGGTAACCCTTAGTATTCTGTCTCCTGCAGCGGTTCTCAACCTGTGGGTTTTGACCCACAGGAACTGTATTGAAGGGCCATGGCATTAGGAAGGTTGAGAACCACTGGATTAAATGGATTAAATCTTACCAAAAAACGGAAAAGATTGTGAAGCACTGAACCAGGTTCCATTTTCAGCTATGTGTTATTTTTTGGCTATGTGACCAGGGTGCCTGGGCCTGCCCCTCTCAAGGCCTCAGTTTCCTCACCTGTAAAATGAGCATGTGGCAACAGCGGCCAGCTGCCTCCTGAGGATGCTGAGAGGCTCAATGTGTCAAGGGGTGGGGAATGCAGAGCCTGCACAAGAGGAGAGCAGACCCTCCCCCGGGGTAAGCAGGGGGCCCTTGGGCACTCACCCAGCCCCAGCAGCAGGAGCAGGAAGGAAGCCAGCACTACCCGGCGGTTCTTCTGGATCAAAGGGTGCTGGGTCCAGCTGGGTGGCAGGAGAGCAGGGTGGGGTGAAAGAGGTAAAGTGGGGGCTGGAGGAGGCTGTGTGGGAGAGCCAGGGCTGCCTGTGCTGGGGCAGAGGCCTCAGGGGCAGCAGGTGGCTCAGAGGCTGGGGCTTGAGCATGGCCAGGCTCACCTGCAGCAGGTGTTGTATGAGCGCTGGGTGCTGCTGCTGATGGTGCTAAAGGACCACTGGGAGCTTCGGATGGAAGTTCGGCCAAGGTCCCTATAGGACAGTTGCCCAGTGAGGGGGAGGAGGGACAGAAGGGGGTCCCTTCAGGACAGGAGTCATGGTAAGGTGCAGGGACTAGTGCTGCCCCCTGCAGGATAGAGGAGGCTCTGAGAGGGAACTCGGGGCATGGATGAAGTGAAGGGCTGGGGATTTCTGCAGGACTACGGGTGGGGTAAGGGTGGGGATGAGCACTAGGGGTTACTGCAGGACAGGTGGCCTGTGGGAAGGTGGGGCCCAGACCAGGCTGGGGGTTTCTCCAGGATAAAGCCTGGTAGGGGTGAGCAAATGAGGCTGGTACTGGGGTAGGTGACCCTGCAGTATATGGACTTCTATGAAGGGAGTGGGGGTCAGGCTAGGAATCCTTATACGACAGACCATAAGATAGCTGAGGGAAGCAGGGTAGGGGATTCAATGGGGTCCCTGGAGACAGAAGCTAGAGGCACAGGGCTTGGGGAACAGGGGCGGGTCCCCACCTGGCCCTGACCTGGTGCTGACTCCCCCATCCAGGTCCGGAGAGGCCTGGGCTCCATCCTCGTCATTCTCCAGGTTCTGTTCCAGAACACAGGGCTCAGAGGGGTTACAGGGCTCAGGTACCCTCCCTCCCCTCCCAAGGAGATGAGAAAAGCAGGCCACACAGCTGCTCACCTGGCCCTTCACCCTCCCCGCAGAACGAGTTTGATGATTCACCGAAACTGAAACCCAGAAAAGAGGTGGGTGGATGCTGGGGGCTTTGGGGAGCAGGAGCCAGGAGGAGTTGGCTGAGGGCTCTAGCTTGGGTCCCAGGGCCAGGGATCTCCAAGATTGGAAGTCAGGGTGGAGCTCTCAGGATGTTTCAGTGGACTAGAATGGGGACTCTGGATTTGGAGTGCCAGGGAAGGGTAGGCCCAGGGTTCCCAGGTTTAGGGTACAGAAATCTGGTCTAAGTCTCCAAGAAAAGGATCCCAGGGTTGGTGGGGGTTTTCTAAGAGAATGGGGATTTCCGGTTCAGTGGGAGTCATGTGAGTGGGGGCTTCCAGCTCTAAGGGGAGAAGGAGGTCTGGACTTTCAGAGCAAAGACGGAGCAGGTTCCTGTTAGCTGGCTTGGGGCCGAGAGGTAGGCTCCTGCGTAAGGGGAATGCCTGGATTGAGATACCGAGGACCTCCCCAAAGCCAGGATGGGTGGGTTCTCTGGCTGGGGTTGAGGATGAGCTCCCGGGTCTGTGATCTCCAGTGCTGGCTGGGGACCAATATCAGAACTGAGAGGGTCTGGGCAGAGCTCTGGATCAGGGGTCAGGGGTCAGGTCGGGGGTGTTCTCTCCCGCTCCGCTTGGGTCCTCTAGACAGATTCTCCCAAACTGGGTTTTCCAGGCCCAGCCTGGGGTCCCGCCGGCCTGGGGCAGAGGGTGAGGTGGGCCGGGCCGTTCACCTGGTAGCGCAGCCGGGACTGCTTGTCCTCGTCAGGCACCTCGAACCGGGCCCGGCGTTCGAAGTGCAGCGGCCCAAAGCGGGCGACCCCGCTGGACTCGGGCCCGGGGCCCGCGTCCTCCAGGGACAGCTCGAAGGCGTCATCGATGCTGAACTGGGGCCGGGCGGCGCTCATGGCCCCCGCCCGCTCAGGCTCCCTGCACCGCCGCCATCTGCGCTTGCCAGCCCCGCGTTGCTGCGGCCCCGCCCCGCCCCGTCGCCTTGGGAGCCTGGCCGGCCCCTGCCTGGGTGGGCCAAGGCCCCGCCCCAGAGCAAAGGCCACGCCCCCGGCCACTCTCAGCAGCCCAGAGCTGCCGAGCGCCGAGCGAACTGGATGTGTGAGGGATGCCTCTTCCTGAAGGAGCGCGCCAGGCCCGTGGCGCCGCCCAGCGGCCGCCTGGGCGAGTGACGGCCGGCTCCACGCTCGGACGTGGACCTTAGGTCGGTTCCCGGCTTGGGGAAAGGGTCTGCCTAGCCCCAGCCGCCTGGGGGCATCCCGCCTTTTGCGTCCCAGCCCACTCCTCGGGTGGCAGGGAGACACCTGGGGACTTAATGTTTTCTCGCCTTGCTCACCACAGCCCTGCATGGAGTCTTCTCGCCATTTTGCCTATATGGAAACTGAGGCTTAGAGAGTTTATGCGGGTTCCACTCTTCCTCCAGTCCAGTCACCAAGCAGCAGCCAAAGCGATCTTTTTTTTTGGAGACAGAGCCTCAAGCTGTCCCCCTGGGTAGAGTGCTATGGCATCACAGCTCACAGCAACTTCCAACTCCTGGGCTCAAGCGAGTCTCCTGCCTCCGCCTCCCAAGTAGCTGGGACCACAGGCGCCCGCCACAACGCCCGGCTATTTTTTGGTTCCAGCCATTATTGTTGTTTGGCGGGCCCGGGCTAAATTTGAACCCGTCACCTTAGGTGTATGTGGCTGGCGCCTTAGCCGCTTGAGCCACAGGCGCCGAGCCTGAAACTCTTATTAAAAGTTTTTTTATTTGCAATATATTATGACATTCATTGAAAACTGAAACTTGGAGGTTGCTATGAGCTGTGATGCTATGGCACTCTACCCAGGGAGATAGTTTGAGGCTCTGTCTCAAAAAAAAAAAAAAAAAGAAAGAAAACTGAAACTCCATACTCATAAAAGAACAACTCTCCATTTTCCCTCCCCCAACCATCATTTTACGTCTGTTTCTGAATTTGACTATTATAGAGACCTCCTATAAGTGGACTCATAATCTTTGTCTTTTAATGACTGATATTTCACTTAGCATATTGTTTTTTGGGGTTTTTTTTTGAGACAGAGCCTCAAGCTGTCCCCCTGGGTACAGTGCCCTCGCATCACAGCTCACAGCAGCCTCCAACTCCTGGGCTCAAGCGAGTCTCCTGCCTCAGCCTCCCAAGTAGCTGGGACCACAGGTGCCCGCCACAACGCCCGGCTGTTTTTTGGTTGCAGCCATCGTTGTTGTTTTGGCGGGCCCGGGCAGGATTCGAACCTGCCACCTTAGGTGTATGTGGCTGGTGCCTTAGCCACTTGAGCCACAGGCGCTGAGCCACTTAGCATATTGTTGCATTTTATACACAATCGTGAATTCAATTAGCTTCATTTTTAAAAGAAGTTTTCATATCTATATTCATTAGTAAAACAACTGTATACTTTTCTTGCCTTGTGGTGTACTTCTCTGGTTTAAAAAAATTAAACTAACCTCATATTGATTGGCTTTCCCTCCTTTTCCATTTTCTGGGAAAATGTGTATAAGAAACAGAATATTTGTTGCTTCAAAACTGGATAAGAACTTGCTTGTAGATTTTATTAAAAGAAAAGAAAAAATATAGAATTTAGCATGTTTCCCATTCACTGCAGAGGTCCTGTCCTCTCTGAGGACTTTTTGTTGGAAAATCAATCCATATAAATATGTGAAACATTTAGCACCTGCATCACATGGGAAAGACAATAATCCTTCACAGTTACAGTGATGATGCGATGAAGATAGTACATAAGCCCCTAGACGCTCCGTTACCTAAACTTTGAGAGTGGGAGCTGAAGACTCTTAGAGCTGTTATTCACAGTCAGTTTGCAGAGGCGCACAGAAACGTTGTTTTAGCTCCCAGAGCACCTCATTTCTGACATTCATCTGTTCCCTAACATTGATTGGGCACCTACTATGTGCTAGGCACTCGGATCCAGCAGTGATGGCAGGCTCACCTCTCTTGAGGAGCTTACTGGCTACCACAAGGATACCTATGTCCTCCTTCTTTCCCTCCTGCCTCCTCTTTTTATATTTTTTTGAAAGAGAAAAATCCGGCTCGGCGCCTATAGCTCAACCGGCTAAGGCGCCAGCCACGTACACCTAAGGTGGCGGGTTCGAATCCCCAG